TTTCTGAGAAAATGAAGGTTGTCGGCGCTAATATTCATTTCCAGAAGTTAGAAGCCAAGTGCTCCTCATCGACATTCTTTCAAAGCTATCTGGAAATGATAGCCGCTCAAGAACTCTCAGAATTTCTTCAAATGGAGATTCGCCTCAAATTCGAGGAAGAAGTTCTTGAATTCTACAGAAATGGAGAAGTCAAAACTGCCCATTCAAAGAAGGACCCACAGAGGACGTTTCCAGTCATCAAGTCCACTGCTGGGGGTACAAAAGTGAAGCTTTCGCAGAAGAAATTGGGAGAAAAGCTTCGCCTTCCCAATTCTGGAACTGAAGTTGGGAAATTTCAAGTCAAAAATCTGGACTGGAACATCATTGGAATCTCTGGGCAAGTTCCTTCTGGCCCAGCGAAGAAAGCAGATCTAAACAACGATTACAAGTTGGTTTTAGAACTGGTCATCGCTTGCCTCCAGTGTGGAAGTGGAGGTCACGCCGATGACATCACCCAAGAGAGAGCCTTCATTATCAACGCTCTCATTACCAAAACTAAGGTAAACTGGGCTGCACACTTTTTCAATTCCATCTCAAAGCATTTGGGAAAGCCCAACCAGAAATATCTCTATCAAGGACTATACCTTGGACATATTTTGGAGTCTATGGGTATTGCTTCTAAAGGAAAGAAGTATGAAGAAAGATACTGGTTATACTATCTGCCTTCAAAAGGGGAAAACAGAGCTGGTACTAGTGAAGCTCTTCAGATAACGTCCCACTCATCCATATGACAAAGACTACCAAAAGGAAGAAAGTGGTGTCTCCCTCCATTGAAGCACCACAGAACCTTGCCTTGATATGTTTGGAAGAAGAAGAAGAAGTCTCTGACCATGGAGAACTTCAAAGGAAGAAGAAGAGGAAAATCAACTCTCCATCAACATCTGGAAATGTCAATCCGGATGAGTTGAAGGAGAAGGAGCCTGCTGAGGAAACCTCTACCCAAAACCGGAGCCCTCAACAATTGGAAGAAGAAACTCCTCAAGTCCCAAGCCTTCCAACCCCCTCATCTCAGCCTCATACAGATGATGCTGACAACAAATTCTTGCAGCTCTACTATAATTGGAGAGCTTGGAAAGTTGGAAATTCAGAAGAGCAACTGTTGGATTGGGACCAACAGCTGAAGAATGAGAAGATTATCAAGAAGTGCTTAGGTATTCCAGTCAACCACAACTGTGAAGACATTTTGGATGACTACTGGGTATGGCAAAGGAATCCTGAAGACCTACATATGGAATACCTGGCCAACACACCAGTTTCAGACTGTGAAGCAGATGATGAAGACACTGCTGTCTTCAAGCCAGTCTTCACTAGAGCCACAGAAGAACAAATGGCTCTCACCTCTGAAGAAATAGCTGTTTTGGAAGCAACAGCTGAGGATTTTCCTATCTTTCTGGAAACCTCACCTGCGTTTGAAATGGTTCTGACTGAAACTGTTCAAGAGAAGGCAGCCTCTCCCCCACAAGAGCAGAACCAGGAAGCAAATGAAGAAGAAGAATTTCTGCAACTGATCCAATCTCAAGTGCTCGAGATCCTCACAACCCCTTGTGAGATCTCCAACCAGACACAACTTGAGATTCTAGAAAAGTCAGCAGAAATTCCGGAACAGTCAGCTATTCCAGAACCCATGGAGAAAGCAGTAGAAATCCAAAGGCACTCTGGAAAATTTGAGAAGGAATCTCAGATGGCAGAAGTGGAGGTCTCTCAAACTCCAATAGCCATCTTCGAAGAACCAAATGAAGCTGAAGATAGTGACTCCCTCTCCAAATACATATCAAATTTTGCACTTGATGCAGCAGAAGGAGAATTTGAGAGGACACTAAAGGTCACTGATGAAGAAGATGTACAAGAAGATGCTGAATCTCTTCCTTTGCAACTCTTCCAAAGGACATCATCTCCTCATCAGGTAACCAATTTTCACTTCCATAGCTCTTCAACCCCTACCCTTCCGGATGAGATACCGGAAATCTGGACAAAGAAGGTCCAAGAGCTGATTGAGTCAGCCCTAGTATCTCAACATGCCTCCTTTAGGCAAGAGATAGAGCAAATGGAAGCTAGGTACAACAAGCTGCTTGAAAAATCTGAAGAGAAGCACAACACAGACCTCAAGGAAATAAGCAAATCAGCAGACAAAACTCTAGAGATCATCTCTCTACTGAGTAACACTGTGAGCAACACTATGGAAATATATGCCTCTGATAGTCAACTTCAATTCAAAGAATTCAACAAAGTCAAAGAGCAAATAGTGAGTGTCACAGTTAGTCTACAAAAACAAATGTCCCTTCTCCAAATGGACATCAGATCAGCCCTAGCAGTAGCTTCAGCAAATCAGGTAGTAATCAAAGACTACTTGAAGGTGATCATTGACAATCAAAAGGAAGCATACAAGCTGTTCAGACTTATTGGTGCACATTCTGGGAACCGCAAGATGGAAGTAATTCTCCAACAACACAGTCCATCTCCAATACCGCAGCTCCCTATTGCAGTCAAAGAAGGAGAAGCATCTTATATCCCTTCTCATCTGAACATGACTAATCTGATCCTTGAAGCACAGCAAAGAAATCCGGAAAACTCAGCACAGCACCTATCCAGTTCAGGACTGGATGGAACAGAATTTATAGGTGCAGTTGTTGACCACTTCTCAGATGCTGCTCAATCAGAAGAAAGGCGTGAAAATTTAAGGCGCATCAAAG